CCTTGGTCGCTCTTGAGACGGTTTGAAGTCTTTTGAAGTCGCTAGAAAATAGAGATCCTCTCATTTTTTTTTTTTTTTTTTCTTTTTTCTTAATACTTTTAACATTAAGCATACTATTCAGTATTTTTAGAAATTTCTTTTCGAAGGACGTGTTCAACATTCATTGTATTTTCTTATATAGATTCGCACAGTAAATTGCTTTTGCCTTTTCACACAATTTTTACAAAATCAACCAATAACACACCATTTTGAAAATTGGTAGAAATAAAAATGATCTTATTGGGGACACGTTTAAATTTAGCTAACATTTAATACCTACTTTACATCGTTTCTTCATTTTCTACTAATTATACAAATATCGTACGTACGGTTAAAAACATGTCAAATGTAGTGAGAAGGATACGCAAAATTTCTCGTTCTCTTTCTTTAACGTTTGATCATTAACCTCGGTAAGGAAATTAGAAATTAGAAATTATATATCTAAAGGGAGGTGACACTCATTTTATGACAATTAATCATGCAGAAAATACTGATGTCATACGCATATACGTGCACAGATATGGCATGCAATGGATTAAATTCAATTAAAGAGACATTGATTAAAGTTGATATCACACAGTTAAATTATTAAAAGAATTTCACGTAATACGATCAAAACAAAAATTTATCAAGTATTTTGTGAATATTTCTTCTCGTGATTCCCAAAATGGATCTTATCTAACTGATGGGAAGTGAATTTTAAACGAGATTCGTTAAAAAAGTTTTTAAGTCTTTCCTTTTTAAATAAATCCCCAAGAAAAATTTCATTATTTTCTTCTTTCATGAATTACAGTTTCTACAATAGCTACAGGGTTAACCCATTAAAAACATCAATGCATTCATCTGTATTATTTTTAAATACAACGCATTCCATCGTATTTCTTTACGATCAGTTCTCTTGTAAAATTTCATTTTCTAATATTGCGTAGCTACGAAAGAAAAATTTCCAAAGATTCGTTAAACATTCTTCTCAACTTTAATCATTCTACAATTTTACCATGTTCCCCAAATATCCGAAACGTTCAAATTTTCAAGAAATTTGCGCAAACATGAGCAGTCTAATTACAGGTGAATCGTCATTTCCTCGGTCCTCGACAGGTTAACCACTTGCGCTGGCAACTGATTGCGGACCATAACGAGTGACCACTCTCGTCGTTATACAATAATTTGTCGCTTTCTTTTTAAACTCGTCGGTATGATAATCACTGGATAGAAATTACTGAAAAGTAATAAATTTATCATTTGTTTTCCCGTGGGTTATACTTAAATATAATTAAAACTGAGATAATGTTGCAATTTTGGGACAAAAAGTTCTCGACGTGCGTGGCACGTCATTCCAGCGCAAGAGGTTAACCACTGGCAACTGCGGACCGTAACGAGTGACCCAACCGTACACAATAATTCGCCCATTTCTTTTTAAAACTCATCGGTATGATAATCACTGGATAGAAATTACTGAAAAGTAATAAATTTGTCATTTGTTTTCCCGTGGGTTATACTTAAATATAATTAAAACTGAGATAATGTTGCAATTTTGGGACAAAAATTCTCAACGTGCGTAGCACGTTATTCTAGCGCAAGAGGTTGACTACTTGCGCTGGCAACTGATTGCGGACCATAACGAGTGACTAAACTCGTCGTTAATACAATAATTTGTCGCATTCTTTTTAAACTCGTCGGTATGATAATCACTGGACAGAAATTATTAAGAATTAATAAATTTATCATTTGTTTTACCTGGTTTATACTTAAATATACTTAAAACTGAGATAATGTTGCAATTTTGGGACAAAAAGTTCTCGACGTGCGTGGCACGTCAGTCCAGCGCAAGAGATTGTTGAGAGACGAATTGAAACAATAAGAAAGTTCATTCGCTAGCTAGATCGCTGCTGGTCGGGCTGACGTTCACTTTCGAGTCGGTTAACTTCGGGGGCGGGGGTAACAAAATGCTCGATCTTCTACTAATATCATCCTCCTCGTATACGCTCGACGTGCTTTTCGATCTCGAAACCAGAGTCCACGGATCCGGCGATACGAGCATGGCGTCGTCCTGTACGGTTTAATTCCGCGATTAATTACGATTAGTTAATCTTAAACAGAAAGTGTAGAGAGGGACACCTTTATTAATGACGGACATCATAGAGTCATCAGTTTTGCATTTCATGCTCGTTCTCGTGCCGCACAACACTTGCTCTCAGAATCCATGCACAGAGTAGAATCCCCTGATACTATTTCTATTGCTATAGATACAGAATGTGAACGACTGATGAGAAGTTTACGAATTTTTTGCCTTATTTAGAGCTTGATCGTTCCTATAAATTCCTATAAAATTCGAACGAAGCCAGTTTGACAAAGTGCATCGAGACTACTTTGAGATAACTGTTGATCAACTATTTAACTATTTAGTTAGATAGACAACTATTTAACTATTTATTAGTCAGACAACTTTTTATTAGTCAGACAACTATTTAACTATTTATTAGTCAGACAACTTTTTATTAGTCAGACAACTATTTAACTATTTAGTTAGATAAACTATTTAACTATTTAGTTAGAATTAAATTTGAAACGAAATTGCAGGCTCATTGAATCTTTTTATTCCAAAGGAGAAAGAAATTTGTATGCGTCTAACTAATATTAATATAATTTTTTTTTTTTGGCAGCTATTGTTTACGTTTCTAATGCCATCGAAGATAATAATTATGCAGAGTGCAGTCTTTGCAGATGAAACTACATCGTGATTAAATTAAGTAAAATGTGCTGTCGTTTATATTATTTTTGTGCGATCCTATATTTATGCCACTATGGTATAATTGCTAATATATAATAATTTTCATCGCGAAATAGTTCTACCCCTCGCCAGTTCTTTCTACTTGTATGAGAACAATGCTGTCAAACGTACCAAAGCCAGCAAAGCCACAGGCTCGTTTCTAAAGCCAAACGCCAAGAAGCCATTCTCCAATGCTGCTCTCCTTAGTTAAAAACGTATTGTCAGTTTTTTTTTTTTTTTTTACTTAGCTACGTGGTTTTTAAAAATTTTTAGCTTCTGAAACACGCTGTGAATCGACGCTCACCGTTTGTGAAAAAATATCTGGAGTACGTATTTTTGGTTTTGAAATTATTATTTAGGAGAGAGTTTTCGAATCGTTGAAAAAAAATTCTCTATCTTTAGCAGCCTTTTGGTTTTAGAGTTTCGTTTGAAGAAATTTTCGAGTCGTTAAAAAAAAATTCTCTGTGTCTGGTAGTTTTTGGTTTGTCCGGAGTTCCGTTAAAAAAAAAATCGACTGAAAAATTCTCTGTATTTGATAGTTTTTGGTTTCGTGATCTCTGGTTTGAACAGACTATCGATCTCATCAGGGATCAAAAAATTCAATTTTTTTGATTTTGGAAGAAGTATAAAGAGTTCAGTTTTCGAAACAGGGAAACGTCGTTGATGCACGTTTGCCGCAAATTCATTTTCATCGGAGAAAAGTTCGCGCAACGTGCAGGAGAATTCGCAAAAAAAAAAAAAGAAAAGAAAATATAAATACGTCGACAGTGTCGTGTCTCCGGTAAGGAACGCGACAAGAGCGGTTTTAAAAAGTTCACAGAGGCGAGGTTCAATTTTGACAGCGAGTGACAGATCACTGGTTCTGGGTGATATCCCTGAGCGATCGAAGGTGTCGGAATCGCGACAACGTTTTTGCCACAGGCCACCAGTAGCTTGTGAATTAAAACGTTCCGACGTTCGGTCGTTTGTTCTGTCATTTTTCAATCGGGAAAAGCCGACAACATCGAGTTTCAACTAGAAGAAGAACAGAAGAACAGAAGAACAAAAGAACACAAGCAAGCAAGCAAGCAAGCAGAGCGAGTAGCTGACGAAGCGACGAAGCAAGCTGTTCCACGACAGGCAAACGCGAAGAGGGAAAGAGAGGAAAGCCGACGAAGGAAACGTGTATGTCTTCCTAAATACCAGTAAATGCTTGCCGGTTGGTGGCAACGGTGGCTTGAGGAGTGCCACGTCGGTGAGATCCGGGCACGCGTTCGGTTGAATCAGCGGCGGCTCCGGCGGCGATGGCACCGCCTCGATCGGCTCCTGGTATCGCGGCGGCTGCACGCTCTCCACGGGGATGCTTGGACCCAGAATCCAGCTGGCGATCACCTCGCAGCAGCCGCAGAAGAACTCCGAAAGGCCTTGGCGGAGACCGCGGTGCAGGCTGAGGAACAGCACCGGGTTCACGAATGCGTGAATGTACGCGATATGTAGAGTCACCTGGAATTTTTTTCACTTTTTTCATTCTTTTTTTTAATTTTTAACTAGAAGTCACACACACTCTCTCTCTCTCTCTCTCTCTCTCTCTCTCTCTCTCTCTCTCTCTCTCTCTATTTCGTTCGTCGTTTGTTCAGGATAAAATAGAAAATCGATTCGATCGGAAGATAACGAACGTCAAAAGTCTCAAGATTCCAATTTATTTGTAATCATGCGAGTATGTAGATTTTGTGAACAAGTGTTTGTTGGAGAAAATGTTTGGAGGAGCCACGAAAATATGATAAAAACATACGGTTTTTTAAATACGTTGTTTGCTACGCACTCATAAAAAGAAACACGAAATACGAGCCTCGTTAACTTAAAACTGTATCTTCAGTGATTTCCAAGATATTCGACGGAATATGCATATTCAACTCAGGTTAGTTTTCGCTCTCTCAACTATCGACGATCGCCGATAAGAAAAAAAAGGAGTTAAGTGCGTATCGAGTATTCTTCCGAAAAGGCACGTCGAGAATTTTTTCTCCCAAATTGCAACATTTTCTCAATTTTAAATATATTTAAATTTGTAACCCAGGCGAAACAAACGATAAGTTTGTTACTTCTTAATAATTTCTATCCGGTGATATCATATCGACGAGTTCGTCAAAAGGAAAAGAAAGCGACGAATTATTGTACACGGTCCGGTCACTCGTTATGGTCCGCGAACCAATTGCCAGCGCAAGTTAAACCTTTGCACTCGGCTGTCTCTTCGTCGAGTGGACATTGTATTTAAATCTGGCCAACAGCGCGGACTTTCTCTTTTTATAATTTGTTGACAATTATAATATACATTCGGTGTTGTATGACGCGATGTATGAACAGTATGATATCTGAACAGGCGCACAGANACATCGCACGTTAGAAGGATGTATAATCGACGAAATTTCATACAATTAAGTACCATTTGAACGATTATTTCCAATGCTGTGTCATTTTAATCAATTGCGCTGGCAACTGATTGCGGACCGTAACGAGTGACCAAACCGTTTCCACAGTAATTCGCCTTCATCTTTTGAATTCGTCGGTATTTGACTGGATAGAAATTACCAAGAAGTAATAAATTTATTATTTCTCTTGCCTCGGTTTATACTCAAATATAAAACCGAGAGGATATTGCAATTTTTGGACCAAATGTTCTCGACGTGCGTGGCGCAAAAGGTTAATCTTTTGAATTTGTCCGCGCGACAGGAACAGAGAGAAAAGACAGAACGCATGACGGGCTGGTCTTTGTGATCGGGACGAAGGAGAAGGGACGGCGAGACTTTGAATTCGCATTGTGCATCAGAATGTGAAACGACTCTGCGTGTGTAGAGCGATGCATCCGGTGTTTGTGAATGGCCGTCGCCGTTGCTCGTAAAAGTCTCTGTACCGATGTTTAACGGCGACTGAAATATGAAAGCCTGTGAAAAGAGAGATGAAGAGGTGCGAGCAAAATTGGGAAGGGAGTTCACATAACGCGTAAGAAAGAGTTCGTTCGAAAAAAAGATACTCGTAATACTTGACGAGGAAAGTTCGAATGAATCGCGGGCAGTTTAAAAATTTTCAATCTTCATAATTCGATACCGCGAGGGCGGCCTTAATTCGGGCCGTTGAATTAACGAGGCTGCAGCTCTTTTAGAAATTGCCCGTTAGACATTGGATCCGTCTAATTATCAAAACGCGGCCTCGACTTTTACCTCCTTCTATTTTCTATTTTATCCCGTTTTATCATTCTAAACCTTTCTCTTTGCTTTTTTTTTTTCTCCTTTCGCTCGTGATCAAATGAACTGAAACAGAAATAACATTCCCAGCAAGGAAGAATTAACCTGCAAATTAGATCAGCAAGTTAATCGGCAACGAGCGTCGATTTTTGATAAAACATGTCGAATTCTGAGCAAGTAGTCCGAATTAACCGATTACGTTACGAAAGAATTAACCTACAAACCAGATCAGCAAATTCATCGACAGCAAGCGTAGATTTTTGATAAAAGAATGTCGAATTCGGAAAATAATAATCGATCACGTTATTGTTATCGTTGGTGTTGTTCCTTCAAATGTTTCTCCACGCAAGTCGGGCTCGAGACTCGTAACAGAAACCACCGGTCGGCTCGAAATCAGGATTCATCCTCCCCCTTCCCACCTCGCCACACGTAAAGCCGCGCAATTTACCGGCCGATTTCGCAATTTACCTCGTAACCGGTTGGATTCCCGATGATAGGATGATCCACCAGAGTGACGAAGAACAGTGGTCCCCAAAAGATACCGTACGCGGCGGTGATCACTAGAAACATCTTCACTCTCTGCACGCCCTCCCTCTCCATCCTCTTCAAGTAATTCCTCATTTTCCGGTGCTCCTCCGCCGCTCCGCCTCTCTGAAGCAATACTTTCCATTTAGTGGATCGACAGAGAGACGAACGAGATAACATTGATGGTTTAGAGGGGGGGGGCTAGATAGAGAAAGAGGTGGGAGGGGGCTTATGCCGGTCGACGTGGCCCTTCTTCTCTTTTTCTCGACCGGGTCTCGGTATTTCGTGACCCGTCACACGTATTTCCCGGGGCAAAAGGGAAGGTGAGGAGGTGGTTGTCTCTCTGATAATGAGGTGGCGGAGTTGAACAATGCAAATGAGGTTACCAGGAGAAATGAACCGGCCGTGCGTGAAGCACCGGTGCCACCGATTTTTCAATCTCCCTGAGGAGAATAAAATTCTCGAGCCTATGTGTTTTTTTTTTTTTTTTTTTTTTTTCATTTTCTTCTCCTCTTTGCACGAGGACGTACAATTATTGGGTTCTTCTTTTCTTTAGCAGCGAGAGAGGCTCATTTCTTCTATTCAATGTAATCCCGAATTCTTTCTTACATTCTCGTTCTGGTTCGTACCCGTGTTTTCTTCTTGAAAATTTGTGAAACTGTCGTTACGCGCCTCTCAAGAATTATCATTTCAAATTGTAACTTTGGATAATGTGGCTGTTCGTTGGACAAATGAAATCTATTCAATGAAATGTTCTTTTACAAGAGAGAAAATCGTACGTGTTAGGTTGTTTGCAAATTCACTCGAGAAACTCGAAAGTATACTTATGGTGTCTTTTTTATTGTTATTGTTATTGTTTTTTCTAAAGAGAGGTAGATTTATAGTAAATGATTCGTTGTTCGTTATTACCTTGGGCGTGCCACCGTTCGTGGATGCGGCAGAATTTTCAGGAACCGCGTTCGTTTGTTGGTTACCCGTTGTATTCACGAGAATCGTTAGTAGTGCTACCTTTACCTGACACAAAAATCGATTATTTTCAATACTTAGAATAGAAGCAAGTATGACGCCAGTGCAACTTAGATCCCTGAAATATGTATGTTTGTAACAGCAGTGCAAATGTTCATATTTGGTTTCTTGAGTCGTGGATTAATTAATTCGGAAAAGAAAATCATATCATTCCCAAGTATTTTGCTGCAATCGATAAAAAAAAAAAGGAGAAGAAAATTCTTATCGCTTTTGGCTCAATTAAAGTACAGGGTGAAAAGAAAAGTTTGTCCGTGGCTGTCATAAATGAATCCTGCATTTTCGATTTGATGGAAATATACGTAAAGAACCTTGAATTTCAAGGTCAAAAAGTTTTTTTTTCTTTCATTGTATTCTACTCGTCACGGAGGTAAAACTTTTTCAAGGAACCATATAGTCGCAACCTAATAGTTCTCTTGAAAAATCGCAAGAAAGTTTCTTAATGTGCTAAGGTGCTAACAGCGACTTTATAATTCTAGATTAGACTTCACTAACATTTGATCTATCGTAGTTGTAACGTCAGTATGAGTCTAAATAACAAGTCGCAACCTAATAGTTCTCTTGAAAAATCGAGAAATTAAGAAAGATTCTTAATGTGCTAATAGCGACTTTATAATTCTAAATTAGATTTCACTAACATTTGATTTATGGTAATTGTAGCGTCAATGTGAGTCTAAATAATAAATCGCAACCCAATAGTTCTCTTGAAAAATTGCAAGAAAATTTCTTAATGTTCTAAAGTGCTAATAGCGACTTTATAATTCTAGATTAGACTTCACTAACATTTGATTTATCGTAGTTGTAGCGTCAGTGTGAGTCTAAATAATCAAATGATAAAACTAATTTTTAACATTATTCGAAATATTATATACGTATATATAGACATCTACGCTTTCAGAACCATAAAGTTGCTGCTAGAACGCACGCGTCCGCAGTGTTAAATGATTAAGAAACTTTCTTGCCATTTTTATCTTCGTGATGAGTAGAATGCAAGAAAAAAAAAAAAAAAAATTTTTTTTGACTTTGAAATTCAAGATCAAGATCAATTTTACGGCAAGTTCTTTACATGTATTTCCATCAAATCGAAAGTGTAGAATTCGTCTGTGATAGACGAATTCTGACAAACTCTTCTTTCCACCCTGTACAATGTTTGATGCACCCTACGAAAACACAAGTTCTAACTTTCAATCGTGCTAAAAAAATAAATTATACTTCAATCTTCCTAAATTCCTGTGAAAAATGTCACTGTACGCACTATAACTTAGCATGCTAGATACATTGGAGCATTTAAAATACACTACAGAAAAGAAAATTCTAATTTACTTGGATTAAAGTCACTTCGCAAGAATTGCTGCGGAAATTAAGAGTAAGAAGAAAACGTCACTTTCACGGCTATAAGGGGAGAGAGAGAGTTCTACTTTAAATTACGCTCGAGAGAGTTCTACTACGACTGGGGAATTAAAAAAATTCAGGAAAATCTAATTACTTAACTTAATTGTTACTAGTAACTCTTACTTTCGCTAATAAATCAAATAAAAGTTAATAATTAACAATTAACAATTCAGAAATGATAAAATGACTGATTGGATGACACCGGGGCGATTCATTCTAAGATTTAGTGAATTTTTAATAAATTCCCACTTGGATGAAAATTCTTCGTTTCAATCTCGTTAGTACCGTTAGAAGGGGATTCGTTTTATAGTCTTTCAAGACCCCCTGTTAGATCTGTTTGCTGCTTTCAGCAAAAACGCTCCGCCAATATTAATATTGGTTTGTAACTTCCCGCTAACTGGCAAGCGGATCGGCAAATTTGCGGAACGAATTGAAAACAGTATTAATTACAGTCTAATCGGTCATCTGTCTATCGAATCTATTTGACGTTCGCGTTAACGAAGCAAATCAGCTGGTTGAAACGGTGCTCGAACGATATATCGACGGCTATATTCGTAATGTGTTCTTTGCTCTGCGTTAACGATTTTCCGCGCAGAGGCGATCCATCAACAATTTTGGCTCAATATTAAAAATAATTTTGGAGCACGAAATATCAGAAGTGCATAAAAGTAGAAGAATATATATAAATTAAATTTATTTAAAAAAAACTAAATATATACGAAAAACATTTAATTTCTAAATATATATTTATTTTTTTATTTTACAAAAAAATTATATATATTTAGATCATTTCGAGATAATTAAAGTTATTAAAATGAATTAATTAACCCTGATACAAAAGCTGCAGGAAATAAATTTCACTTGTTTATTTTTTTAAAAATTCATTAACTATTACTCACTTTAAACTATTAATAACATTATTAATAATATTATTAATTTTTGTATATTGTTAACATTATTAATTTTTAACTATTACTAAAATATATTCTCATTACAGAACCTTATTTAATCATATGAATTTTCAATTATATAATAATAATATATATTTCAGTTATATAATAATAATAATAATAAATTTATATTCATATATATTCAGTCGTGAGTTAATCGAAATCAAAAAAAAAACGGAAAGCCGGAATTTTATTTTATTTGCTCTTTGCAAATTGCAAGGTGCTCTGAAGAAGATTTGGTGCCATTTGGATTTCTCTCTTGTATTCGAAAAATGATGCCCGTAGCGTGTGATGATCGTAACATGCGTTGGTGGGATAATTGACAACACCGCAGATTCGTTTGTCAGTTTATCGAAGGAAAATTATTTCTATTCTGCGTTATTATTATATCTTTTTCCTTTGCGAACTCTTTCTTCTCGCTTATACAGGGTGGAAAGAAAAGTTCGGCTGTCGCAGACGAATTTTATACTTTCAATTTGCAAAGGGCTTTAAATTTCAAGGTCAGAAAAATTATTTTCTTTTTTTTTTTGCATTGTACTCTACTCATTACTACGAGGAAAGGAATTATAGATCGCAACCGAACAGTTCCTTTAAAAAAGTTTCTTCATCATTTAACACTGCGTGCTAACAGCGACTTTATAATCCTTTCATTCCACCCGGTACATTTCCTCCGGACACAAAGAGCTGTGAAACAGCGTGAAAGCTCTCTCTTTAAACGAATCCGCGAAACATCGAGATTCCTGGGAGTTGGGATAGTTTGATCCGAATCTCCGGTGTATTAGATTGGCCAAGAAGTAACTTTGGTAGTTCTACGCAAGCTCGTGGAAAATAGAAAAAAATAAATAATCAACTTCCTGTTGTCAATCGAAGCGAATTATTCCACAGCGTAATTTTTTATTTGTGAAAAATAAAAGAACGAGCCATCGATGTTTCTCAAAGATTGAGAATAAATTATTAATCGTTTGCAAGTAATTTTTTTCACCGTATTCTCACGAAGTGTTCCCTCCCGATTCGAAAGAATGAACAATTTATTTTCAATTTCGAGAAAATGAACAATCTACTTGGAAATTGTTAACGTGGTGATCGTGCAGCAAGCTTGAACGAACGAGAGTCAGATCACGCTGGACGATTTAAAATGAGGTTAGTCTACGAAGAAAAACGCAGTTACTTTTTGGCCAATGATTCCTGAAAATGGCGAGCAGCGATTCAACGAGAGCAAGAATGAAGGGGTTCGGGCAGGGAGGGAGAGGGATGGGTGGATTGTGGGAGAGTGCATGCGTGGAAGCAGAGCGCGTTTCACTTTGGAAGAAGAAACGCGAAACGAGATAGGTTACCGCTTCGACGTTCGCCTTGGTCAGGTCTTTGTGCAGCTTCCGTAGATGGACGAGGGTGAGGGCGACGCAGATCACGTTGATGGCGATCCAGAGGACGTTTAGTATATAGTGGCGAAACGGGCCGTGCACCAGGGGGCAGCTGGGCGCATTGTGGCCCGACTCCGTGTTGGCGGCCAGCGCCCCGCTCAGAAACGTCGGCCCCAGGTTGATCGTGATGCTCGCGAACCATATCATGAACGTGCCGAATAACACGCACTGAAACAGACCGTAACTTTCATTTTTAATCTTTATTTTAACCCCGTTGCGCTAGTAACTTGTTCGCGGACCGTAACGAGTGACCGAACAATTCGCCACCCTTTTTTTTGAATTCATCGGTATATTACTACTGGATAGAAATGAGTAAGAAGTAATAAATTTATTGTTTGTTTTGCCTAACTATACTATACTGTACTATAGTGAAGTATAGAATTAACTGTACTATACTATATAGTGGAGAATTAACTATGCTATACTGTACAGTGGAGTATGGAATTAACTATACTATACAGTGAAATATAGAATTAACTACACTATACTATACAGTAATTCTACACTATAATTAACTATACTATACTATACAGTGAAGTTTAGAATTAATTATACTCTACAGTGAAGTATACAATTATATTATACTATACAGTGAGAAGTATATAATTATACTATACTATACTATACAATAAAGTATAGACTTAACTACACTATACAGTGAGGTATAGACTTAACTATACCATACTCTACAGTAAAATATAGAATTAACTATACCACGCTATACAGTGAAGGATTAACTATGCTATACTATACAGTGAAGTTTAGAATTAATTATACTGTACAGTGAAGTATAGAATTATACTATGCTATACTATACAGTGAAGTATATAATTATACTATACTATACTATACAGTGAAGTATAGACTTAACTACACTATACTGTACAGTGAGATATAGACTTAACTATACTATACTTTACAGTAAAGTATAGAATTAACTATACTATACTATACAGTGAAGGATTAACTATGCTATACTATACAGTGAAGTTTAGAATTAACTACTATACTATACTGTACAGTGAAGATTTAACTATACTAATAAACTATAAAGTGTTTGAAACGGAGGCATTCTAAGAGACGAGATCGTGCATGATCCAACAATTCTCGTCTAACGAACGGAACTGCAAATAGGAATAGGTTCGTATAGAGTGTGTGAAAGAGAGAGAGAGAGAGAGAGAGAGAGAGAGAGAGAGAGAGAGAGAGGAGGAGAATATAATGGAACCGTGACACGCATTGTTAGAACGAATTCAACGGCGGACGATTGCGGTGTAAACTGTCCGCAACGGAATGCCTCCCGTGTCGGGATTAATCGCCACGTGTCTCGTTTATTCGAGGCGATCTTTTACCAACGTGACTCCATTAACTCGAACTGATCCGACGCGATCACCTCGCGTGGTCCTTTGTTAACACTATGTATGTGGATGTTACGGCCGCCGTCAATCTCTGACTTTATTAAGCAAAATTTCAACAATATTTTACGGTTTTCTCTTTTTTTTTTTGGCAATGTTTGCTGATTTTTATTATTATTCTTTTATATTATTAATATTATAATGATATATTTAATATAATACTATATACTATATAATACTATACTAAATACTATACAATATATAATACTATATACTATATAATACTATATAATTATATAATACTATATACTAAATATTATATAATACTATAAAAATTTTAATATTATTGACATGATATATTTAATATAATACTAAAAATTTTAATATTATTATTGACATGATATATTTAATACAATATTAAAAATTTTAATATTATTATTGACATGATATATTTAATATAATATTAAAAATTTTAATATTATTATTGACATTATATATTTAATATTATTATTGACATGATATATTTAATGTAATATTAAAAATTTTAATATTATTATTATGACTTTTATTATATATATATAGGGTGATTCACGTATGTAATTTGCACACCTGAAACAACTTTTAAATTGTTCGTCTATTGAAAAATTGTTCGACCCAAGAGTCGAATTGTTCAATACAAAAATTAATTAGACTTTTTTTTATAAAATTTGATAGAGAGACAAATTAATTATTAATTATTCTTTTAGCGTATAATCAAGTGGTTTCTTGAAAGGAGTAGTTAAATAATTTTTCGGGGGATTTAACGGGGTGAATTTGTTGCAAGAAATGCAAGAGAACCTAACCCAAACCTTGATTTGTCAGTCAAACTGTTAACAATTTCCTCCAACTTGTACTCGAGATTAAACTTTTAACACCAATTTCCGCTGATTCGTCGACGTTCGATGAGATTTGTATTCCCACGAATTTCCACGTTTCCGCCTTTTGATCTTTGATCAAACGATTTAATCTTTGACCGCTCTACGGCTCGTCGATCGTTGCGCACAAAGAGGAGGAGAGAAAAAAGAGGAAGAAAAAAAAAAACAAAAGGAAAGAAAAGGATAGGCGTGTGAAAATCGTCGACGCGAACGCGAATCGTTCGGTGAACTGCGGCTAATAAAAGCGAGTCGAAGGGGAGGAGGCAGTATTATTCCCCGGCGCGCGCTCACTTCGATCGACGAATTCCAACACAGTTGGCTGAACAGTTTTTTTTTCTTTTTTTTTTTTTTTTTTTTCAATTTCGCGCGCCCGCGCCAATTAACAATCGTTAATAAGCGTTGTTCGTCGAGCGCTTAAGAAACTACCACTGTGGCGTGTGTAATCTATAAATAATTTCTCGAGTGGCACTTCTCTCGCGAGGAGAGAGTCTCCTCCCCGTAACACGTACTCGTTGCGAATCGATTCCGAAACTCGAGCCCGGTCTCAAAGGCACTCCGCCTCAAGTTAAAGCCCCTGCCATCGAGTTAAACGACACACGACCGTGAAAATAATAACGTCATCCGTCCACGGAAGATAGGCGAAGCACGATTTTTGCAGAACGAAAAAAAAAAAAAAAAACAAAAGAGCTCTTTGGAGATTCCCCGCTGTGCTCTGTAAATTGATTTGAGGTCGGAACGCATTTCGCAGGGAATGTTGGAATGTCTTTTCGTTTTCTTTATTTTTCTTCATTATCTGAAACTTGGAATCGATCGGTCCTCCTCTTCAGTCAGAGTGAAGGAATTTGGTGAAACGAGGATAAACGAAGTGATTACAGTAGTGTCGGAATACAGTGGTAGTGTACAGACGTGGGCGTCCGAAAGTGGTATATTCTGCGAATTGGCAGACCGATAGGAAGAGTAGGGATGAGCGTCAATTGTTACACCGATATTTGGCGCGTGCGGCGAATTCCATTATAACGAATAATGTAATATAAAATAACACTGAAATATTAATAATATTAAAATTTATATTATTATATTTATATTATTATATTTATATTACTTTAATATATATTATATGTTACATATTTTTTATATTGTATTATTTTAATATAATAATATTTTATTATAATAAATATTATAATATTTTAAATATTTTTAATAGTAAATATTCTAATATAATAAATATTAAAATAATATATATAATAATTAATAATAAAATAATATATTAATATAATAATTATATTGAAATAATACAATAATATTGAAATAATATTAATAATATTAAAATAATGTAATATAAAGTATGTTATATTATATTATTTTAATATTTATTATAATATTTTAGATTACTTTAAATATATATTATATTTTACATATTTTTTTGTATTGTATTATTTTAATATAATAATATTTTATTATAATAAACATTATATTTTATTAATAACAAGTATTTTAATATAATAAATATTAAAATAATACAATATAAAAAAGTATGTAATATATAATATAAGAAAATATTAAAATAATATAATATAAAAAAATATTATTTTAATGTAATAAATATTTTAATATATTAATAACATTTTAATCGTTTTCATTGAAAAAAAAAAAAGAAAAATTAACCGTCGATTTATCGTTCAACGCGTATCGCGGCCGATACATTTATTCAAGCGGGATAATTCACAGATTTTTCGCCATTGTGAAATGAGAATCGTTTGGCCAATAAAACGATCGATCGAGCGCAGCGCGGCGCTTCGTCTGATTACCACGGATCATCGTTCTATTGTAAATCTTCCTCGGTTGTTAGAACCGTACTTTGCCATTGTGAGAAAGCGAGATCGTTCCTTTTCTCGAACGAAACTTTCGGAATTTCCGGAACCTCTGCAGTTTTCCATCGTCGATAGAACCTCGCCTTATCGCTCGTTCGTTCGATGAATCGCCACGTAATTACGAGTTGTTGCTATCAGTTTGCCAGATCTCAGAATATTAACACTTCAGACAGACGTCCGCGCATACGAGCGAGATTCATTTCTCTCTTATCGCAGAAAGTTTTTCGAAAAAGATCGGCACATCTTTTTGTCCCAAATTGCAACATTTTCTCAGTTTTAAGTATATTTAAATGTAACCCAGGCGAAACAAACGATAAGTTTGTTACTTCTTAATAATTTCTATCCGGTGATATCATATCGACCAGTTCGTCAAAAGGAAAAGAAAGCGACGAATTATTGTACACGGTCCGGTCACTCGTTATGGTACGCGAACCAATTGCCAGCGCAAGTTAAACCTTTGCACTCGGCTGTCTCTTCGTCGAGGGGACATTGTATTTAAATCTGGTCAACAGCGCGGACTTTCTCTTTTTACAATTTGTTGACAATTATAATATACATTCGGTGTTGTATGACGCGATGTATGAACAGTATGATATCTGAACAGGCGCACAGAGTGAAATAACGACGTGAGAGGTACAAAAGAATTTCAGAAGAAGAAATTTCTGAAGGCAGTCCCGAGTCAGTTGACACCATATGATAATTCACATAAACTAGACTCCTTATTGCTTTTTTTGCGAAAGTTTAAAAAACGGCGTAGGATATTATTTTCCCAGAGACTGAAACTATGTATCGTTAACTCCTGTGCATCATACTTGCTCCAGCAAATCTACAATACAACCTGTCGACGATTGCTTTAAATTTAAACGACATCGCACGTTAGAAGGATGTATAATCGACGAAATTTCATACAATTAAGTACCATTTGAACGATTATTTCCAATGCTGTGCCATTTTAACCAATTGCGCTGGCAACTGATTGCGGACCGTAACGAGTGGCCAAACCGTTCCACAGTAATTCGCCTTTATCTTTGAATTCGTCGGTATTTGACTGGATAGAAATTACTAAGAAGTAATAAATTTATTATTTGTTTTGTCTCAGTTTATACTCAAATATATACTTAAAGCCGCAATCTTTGGGACAAAAAATTCTCGACGTGCGTGGCAAGAGGTTATTCAAAGTGATGATGCTTCGTAAATAAATTGTTGGCAGATGATGAGAACAAAAAAAAAAAAAAGAAAAAAAAGGAAACTGTGGAGGATTAAAAGGCTGGAAAGATTGAAAAGGGAGATATAGAGTCTCGACGAAGGAGGTCACTTGCCTGTGGCGAGTCCATGAGCAAAGGTGCGGCGAGGTCTGCCTCCTCGTCGGTTTCCGGGAAAATCGGACTGTCGTTCAGCACCGTCGTCAACATGTTCACCGTCGAGACTGTCACCAGCAGCAGAAACGCTGTCTCCACCAGGGAACACTTGGTCATTGGCTGACAGTTCAGGATGCTCGATCCGAGGGGCAATAAAATCGCAGCTCGAGCGCAGTCCACCATCGCTTGATGAAATAACAGCCCTTGCGACCATCTGAAACACGCGAGAAACTCTTGCCCCTCTCGAATCTGCTTCTTATGTGGAAAAAAACATCTCTAAAATGTTTATAATTTACATAGATGAAAGAAAGTTCAAATATTCACACACTCTTATAATTCGCAGAAATATTTAAACGTGTTACAAATGTTTTTGTAATTTACGAGCGTGTCGAAAATATTACTCAAACATTGATATATTTAACCCGACGAAATTCGCGTTCAATCCCCAGAAAACTTCCGAAACTTCTAATCCACCGAAAGTACTGAAATTTCAACATTATGTACGAGTGTGCTGTATGTTGGTTCCTATCCACAAGTACTTTGGTCACAAAGGAGCAGACGACCATTTTATAACGTGGACTAAACAACCAGCAGCACACCTTTGTCCTCTTTTCCCCTTGTAAAACGTTTCTTCCGTTCCGTTAAGTCTCGTTTCCCCCCATGTATGTATATATATATATATATATGTGTGTGTGTGTATGTGTGTGAAAGTTTGGCCAGTTTTCGTTAATATCGTCAGAAATTACCTGCGCAATTGCCGTTTGGCCAGGATCAGGGCCATCAGCAGAAAGTTGGCCCCCATGCCAAGGGCCCCGAGGCTGAAGATCAGAGTCGCCTCAGTCGCCCCACCTGGATGACATTGGAACACCTTGGTCGCGTTCGACGACACGTTGCCCGACGCGCCGATACCGAATCTCAGATTGGCCCCGATCATCGCCATCAATTAACCTGTTTCGCAAAAAAATCACCTCCTGTTGATCTCTGCCTTGACTTCGGCTCGAACTTTATTCATCTTCAATCCCTTGACATATATTTACAATGACGTCGTGCGTTCCCCCCAGGGACTGTCGAATTATTCAGTTCAAGTTCTTTCAGTTTTTGTCAATTTTGTTTGTGTTTTAGTAATTATTATTGTAATATATAATAATAATTATTATTATTATATTATATGATAATAATGGGTTTATTAATATATGTTATTATTATTATTATAACAATTTTAATAAGTTTATTAATATATGCTATTATTATATAATAATTATTATTATTATATTATATGATAATAATAAGTTTATTAATATATGTTATTATTATAATTATTATTATAATTAAATATAAATATATCTTTAAGTTGAGTTTAGACAAGCAAACATTATTTTTTTTTGGCCATATTTGGAACTTCGTTTATTATAATTCGTATGTCAAGGAGTTTTAACTTTAATTTTAATTTTAATTTTTAACGATCGATAACGGGACGACGTTACCACGAGATTGTGTTGCGTTCTAAGGGAGTAATTAGGGACTTAGGCTTTTACAATTTTACGGAACTTTTGCTAGAGGAAGGCAAGAAGTTCTTAGCAACTTCTTGACGTGAAAATTTTCTTTTTCTTTTTACCTTGCTTTGCAAATGTGTCTGTATTTCGTGCGAAATTCACGTTTCTTCAGCAGGTGTAAAAATTATTTAATATATATATATATATAAATAATTATTTTATATAATTATTATATAATATTATTAATTAATATTATTTATTATATAATATATATTATATTTATATAAAAGTATAATGTAAAATAATAATAGAATAATATTAGAATAATATAAAATAATGGTAGAATAATATTAAAGTAACATAAAATAATAATAAAATAATATTTAAGTAATATAAAATAACAATAAAATAATATCAGAATAATATAAAATAACAATAGATTAATATTAGAATAACATAAAATAATCAATCTTGGGAATTTCGTTACAATTGGCAAAAAAGTTTCTTAATCACCTAAGAAACTGTGGACGCGTCCTAACAACGACTTTATGGTTCTGAACGCGTGGATGTCTATATTACGTACTTTTTGTATCAGGTTTCACTACGCGACAAAATTTGATTTATCATAGCTGTAGCAGTGTGAATCTAAATACTCGAAAGATAAAACTAAAACTGCCAACGTTATTTGAAATATAAATATTACATCCATTCGCGTTCAGAAACATTAAGTCGCTGTTAGAACGCACGCGTCCAAAGTGTTAAATTAAATTAAGAAACTTTTTTGCATTTTTCAAGAGAACTATCAGGTTCTTTGGAAAAGTTTTACCTTCGTGGAGAAGTAGATTGCAAAGCAAAAAAAGAAAAAAAAAAAAGAAAATTTCATACTAAAGCTTCTTCCTCTAATTACTTTCTTTTCAATTAAACCTAAACCACCGTGCATAAATAATTTTCAGTCCATCCACTTTGATTTAAAGATAAACTTTTACACACAGTCTGAATACTCATAGCACTAAAAAAAGAGGCTTAACATGATCCTCTGGCTCGTAGTTTAATCCTTGACCGATCACCAATCGCTGAAAACCGCATAACGCAGCCGCAGCGACGTCATCACGACGATGATCACCGCTACCACGATTATGGTAATAAGCACGATAACCATGTATCAAAAAAAGAAACAAACATTAACGGGCGGAGGGGGGGGGGGGGGGGGGGGGGAATTGCAATTTAATGAACAGAAATTTCCGGAAAGTAGAAAGTACAATAGAGGGACACTCGCGTTATTAGCAATTAATTCTTCCGCATTGGAAGTAATTAAATTCGGTCCGCATGGATGATTATATCGCGCGAATGTAGGTTGACGTGTGATGTGGTCACGACTATCTACCCTACCCCGTGTAATGATCGAGAAGCGTAAACGGAATAATTAGAGAGCCCCTCCGGGATAGTGTGTGCTTTCGAACAAATCTCATCGTTGCAATAATTTGCAATAATTCGAATTTTATCGCAGCGCGAACGCGCTCTTATAAATATTCATGCGGCATCAATTATTCGGGATTATTGTTTGTGAATTATTGCAAACAATTTATCAGAACGTAGATTTTTCTCAATCACGGTCAGACTTCGTTTTGTACAGGGTGGGCCAGAAATAATTTTTTTATTATATATATAGTTTTTTTTTACAGATCAGAGTAATTAAATTAATAAACTTAAATTTAATTTGAGACTAGTGAAATTAGTTTTCTTTTTCTTTTTATATTTTGATATTTTATTAAAGGGAACTTTTGGCCCACTCTGTATACAATACTTGCAACGATTCGACTCTCTGTATTACTATGATGAATTTTTTTACAAGAAACATTGGCGTCGTCAATTCTCAGTTTATTTTTTATTTCAATGGGATTGTTTGTAAATTATTGCAAACAACTTGTCAAAAAATGTAGATTTTTCTCACGGTCAGACTTCATTTTGTACAGGGTGGGCCAGAAATAATTTCTTTATTATATATATATAGTTTTTTTTACAGATCAGAGTAATTAAATTAATAAACTTAAATTTAATTTGAGACTAGTGAAATTAGTTTTCTTTTTCTTTTTATATTTTGATATTTTATTAAAGGGAACTTTTGGCCCACTCTGTATACAATACTTGCAACGATTCGACTCTCTGTGTTACTATGATGAATTTTTTTACAAGAAACATTGGCATCGTCAATTCTCAGTTTATTTTTTATTTCAATGGGATTGTTTGTAAATTATTGCAAACAACTTATCAAAAAATGTAGATTTTTCTCACGGTCAGACTTCGTTTTGTACGGGGTGGGCCAGAAATAAATCCCTGAGTAATTTTTTTATTATATGTATATATTTTTTTTTTTACAGATCAAAGTAATTAAATTAATAAACTTGAATTTAATTTGAGACTAGTGAAATTAGTTTTCTTTTTTTTTTATATTTTGATATTTTATTAAAGGGAACTTTTGGCCCACTCTGTATACAATACTTGCAACGATTCGACTCTCTGTGTTACTATGATGAATTTTTTTACAAGAAACATTGGCGTCGTCAATTCTCAGTTTATTTTTTATTTCAATGGGATTGTTTGTAAATTATTGCAAACAACTTATCAAAAAATGTAGATTTTTCTCACGGTCAGACTTCGTTTTGTACAGGGTAGGCCAGAAATAATTTCTTTATTATATATATATATAGTTTTTTTTACAGATCAGAGTAATTAAATTAATAAACTTAAATTTAATTTGAGACTAGTGGCATTAGTTATCTTTTTCTTTTTATATTTTGATATTTTATTAAAAGGAACTTTTGGCCCACTCTCTATACAATACTTGCAACGATTCGACTCTCTATATTACTATGATGAACTTTTATTTTTTATTTCGTATTTTTGACATTTAGTCAAATTTCTTCATTTTGATATTTATCAATTAACTCCGAAGTTGTTCAAGTTGTTCACATTGAACAATTAATTCATCCCTGATGTTTTTCGAGAAAATTCGTTGTACTCGGAAGTTATGCTCGGCGCCCGTTGTATTCAAAGACGAGAACACGCAAAGTTTCGCGGCAGTGGCGCTTAACTCGTGTTACATATTCAACGGTTTAGCCTTTAAACTTCGATGTGCTCTCCTCCGTGCTGTAGCAGGAAATTCTTGACAAAACGTGCCTCAAGACCTATATCGTACAACAGGGTATATTCCTATCTCTCGTTTGAATTTTAACAACTCTCCCAAGAACGCCAACTTCTCAGATCGTTGCACGATTTTTCGGAAAAAGTATAACTCCCTAATAGTCTGTGATCAGACGATGGAAAGCGTCGAACTCTGATGAAGTGACACGATCCTAAGATCTCGAGAATTCCTAGATTTTTATCTCTCTGGTTTTAAAATTTTATTTCCAGTTTGAAAACCTTATTTCCAATCCAAATTCCTGGGTTTCCAGATTTTTATCTCTGGTTCTAAAATTTTATTTCCAGTCCAAATCCCTAGGTTTTCAAATTTTCATTTCTAGTTCTAAAATTTTGTTTTTAATTCGAATTCTTAGGTTTCCAAATTTTTATTTCTAGTTCTAAAATTTTATTTTCAATTCAAATTCCTAGGTTTCCAAATTTTCATTTCTAGTTCTAAAATTTTATTTTTAATTCAAATTCTTAGGTTTCCAAATTTTTATCTTTGGTTCTAAAATTTTATTTCCAGTCCAAATTCCTAGATTTCCAAATTTTCATTTCTAGT